AAATTCTGATTGTAACTGATATTGAAATTTCTGATTTTAATCATAAATACTGATATATTTATAGTGATTAATGCTGAATTTCTAATTTTGATTAATATTGAAATTCTGATTGAAATTAATACTGAAATTCTAAATGTAATTAATACTGGAAATCTACTTGTAATTTGTACTTAATTCTTAGTTTGATTTAATAGTGACATTCTGATCGAAAATAATACTGAAATTCTAATTGTTATTAAAACTAAATTTCCAATTGTAATTAATAGTAATAAATACTGAAATAGTTAATATGCATAAAGCATATGCAGTACGTAAGATAATATTTTTAATTTGATATAAGTACTTTAAAAGTTGTGCTAATTCTTATGACTTTACTTAATTTAAGCATGAAATGAAAGTGTTGTATCTTTCCTAGTGAATAATATAAGTTACAACTGATTTGCTCTAAGTCTGTGTGATTATTCATTTCTTGTGGGAGAATGTGTGTCAGTCCTAACGATGTGTTTTATTATTAGCCTGTGTGTGAAATGTGTTTCTGGTGACAGGAAACAGAAATTTCCTTAAAACTAATTATACAGCTTTGTAAAACATGTCTTTCGTGAATTACTTTGAATGAGACGGGTTTTATTTTAGACAAAATTAAAGAAGATCTATTGCATGGACAGATTTACTTTCTTATTCTGAAAAAAAAATACGACAACAATTTAATCAGGTTTTGAAAAGGCAAAATTGAATCCATTAGTAAAAATGAGTCATTATTGAATAAAATTTTGAGTATTATGCTTGTATACTATATTAAATTTTGTGTTACGTAAAAAAATGGAATTTTTATTTCTGTTTTTACGTATTTCAAGCATTCAACTGTATTTTTGCTGCTTTTGATTATATACTTGGACTTGGCATAGTGGTCCGGTGGCAATATATTGACCACAAATCAAAGAGTGGAAAGATTGATCATGGCATGGCCATTACTCAAACTGAAATCACTATCAAGTGTTAAAAACCTTAGGACTCCCTTGCAATGGTGCTTTAAACCTTACAAGTAAAAAGAAACAGAAACTGATAATTGTTTCTCTTTGAATGTTATTTCTGCTCCAAAAAAGAATTTTGGACCTGCAGGGTCAGCACATTTGTTTAAGTAAGTAGCAAGGGTTATGTGGTGATGAATATATAAATAACCAGAGTTAGAGTATGATCTAAAATATTGCACTCAAGTTATTGTAGTACAGACCTACATAAAAGTTATTTATGGTAGAGAAATCTTTTAAATATAGATAAAAAATATATAATTTAAAAAAACAAAAACAATGAAAACAGGGAATAATCTGAAAATTTGCACACAAGTTATTCATATATAACCTTAGAATCTTTGAAAAGAAAAGAAAGATTTACTTCCAGTGTCGAGTGAAGTCCCTTTAATGTCATAATCTGTGATATGATCCAGTATTTGTTTCTTATTCTAACATAGTTTAAATGCTGGTTTTGAAAATGTTGCATACGGTGTTTACAGGGTTTATACAGAATTTATTTTAGTTCGATTGTGTAGGAAGCTAGAAGCTTATAGACACACTTTCGAATCCATTCCTGGAACCAAACAGTACTTCGCAATTAGTGTAAAGTTTTTTACTCAAGGAAACAACGACTTGCCCCTGACGGGGTTTGAACCCATGTGGCTAAGCAATCATTAGATTACTTAGTCCTATGCGTTAACCACACAGATCAGCAGTTGTAAAGGAAAGTTTCTTAAACTGTTCTAATTTGATTCACTATTGTCTTTAATTTGATCCATAATCTGATTTCAGAAGCAAAAAAGTTATATATCATACAGACTTTAATTTAGGGGTTTTTTTAAATGATTTAACTGCAAACAATTATTCTGTCGTTAATTAACCACTCCTCAATTAGCTTTAAATTTTGCTCCCGTTTCTTCGGAAAAAAGATTATATGGTAAAAAAAAAGATATCTGTGAAGAAATAATTATCTGTATTTCTTTAGAAGGGGAATGTTCTATTTGCAGAAAGGTGACATTTTAATAGCACCCAGTTCGAGAACAGCGTCAGTAAAGTAAATGTCTGACATTTGTTTAAGGTGACATAAAAACGTTACGAGACAATTTGGTCTACAGAAAAGTCTTATACCTGAAGTAATGATTGGCAAATAAAAACACATTGTCCCTAGCTATATATATGTAACACCCACTGTGATTTAGATGAAAGATTCCAATTGAACTTGGCTATGATGGTCCTGGAAACAGTTCTTTCTCCAGTTGCAATTTTATAATAACATGACTTTTATATATACTTTTTTTTAACCAACATTTATGGAGAAAATAAACGGGATTTACCCTTTAACGGCCTCAAAAAAAAAATAAATAAAAAGAAAAATAAACAATTTGATGGAGTCTGTAATAAAGAATAAAGAAGAATGTAAATAATAATGCTGATACAGCGAGGACCCTCTGCAAATCAGCCCTTCATAACCTAGAGCAATAACCTTTTTACAACAATATTATCAATGCTTCTTAAAGACTTAGACTTCACCATTCATTGAACCTTTAAATGTAAAGAAACACATCTCAGCAACAAACAAAATTTTTGTCTGCCAAAGGGTGTTCATCATATTACTAAAGTAAAGAAGTTGTTAAAACTACAACAGTGGGGTATCTGACCACAGTCTGATGGTTAAAATCTACTGAATCATAATCATAATTAATAATCCCCTTGCCTCCCTGAGTTTAATAACTGCTGTGAGTTGTAACCCACATCATAAGTACACTATTAAGTTATTAAATGTAGAAGTGTTCATTCTGGTTAAATGTTTTACCCGTATGTCACACCATAGTTATAGGTAAAATGACTTAAGTTACTAAAGGTAGAAGTGTTCATTCTGGTTAAATGTTTTGAACCGTATGGCATACCATAGTAAATAGGTAAAATGACTAAAGTTATTAAAGGTAGAAGTGTTCATTCTGGTTTAATGTTTTGAACCGTATGGCATACCATAGTAAATAGGTAAAATGACTAAAGTTATTAAAGGTAGAAGTGTTCATTCTGGTTAAATGTTTTGAGCCTTATGGCAATTACCATAGTAACAGCTGGTAAAATGTATCATTTAGTTTCCTTTTGACATTTTCAATAAACTATTGTTATTATAAAGCAACACCAATTATCTTCAAGTTTAATAGTTTTGACCCTATAAGTAATGTGGTAGACAAAAGTAATAGTAAAAGTGAAATTTTTCATTGCGTTTAGAGTTTTGACCCATATGGGAGACAATAGTGGTATAATGCTACTGCTAATATCTTTTCATGGAAACTTGTCAATGTTAGTTTAAGAGTAATACATCATTTCCTTTTTTTGGCAACAGACTTATCACCCGTTCTTGTATTTTTTCTAGAGGTGATGATTGATTTTTGTATGTCTTTAGTGATTGTCAGCTCTACAATAAAGCTGCAAGCTACCTAATAGGTGAAGATATTGTCTATGCCAGTGTTCATTTGTAAATGAGCTGTAAGTTGTTTCCGGGGAAAGAATGCTGTAATTGTTTACTTTGGCTAAATGGCTAAGAAGAACAATAACAGAATAGTGCAGATCTAGACAGAAACGTCTTTTAATGTAACTATGACTTTGATTTAAAATCACTTGTTGTTTTTTGTTTTGTATTTTTTCTTTTTCTCTTCTACCTTGCCAGATTGATGCATGTTTAGATCCATTATAGGATTCTGAATTCTTTTAGGAAGCTCTACCTTAGGTGTAATTGACCTCTAAGTAAAGGCACAGAAGTGCCAAATGGATTTAAGTCACTGGCTTTTAGTCATTTTCCTCTTACCTTTGTCATTTTACTCCAAACAGGGACTTTGGATTGTTTTTCATGTGTAGATTATAAGCTAATCTAACTAGATCTAAGAAGATATTCCATTCTTTACCCAGGTGTCAGAATTTGTGCTGGAAATCATGAAAGAGGAGCTCTTAAGGTCTTTATCAAGCAGTTAAGCACAGTGACTGTTTTACTTAAATTCCAACCAACCAGTAAAACAAAAATGTACACACACATTGGGCTTGTACCTGATAGAATGCATACATATTCTCACCCACGAAACTTTCTGTTCCATTTTTACTGTGTTTCAGTTTTGCTGGAAAATGTTCATACCTAACTCAAGTCTCCTTGAGAATTATGGTTTATGTCATAGCAGGCAGATATTTCTCATACTTCTATAGGAATCAATTTATTTCTAGCCCGATGAGGAATACGTTATTTAATTATCCAATGAATGCTTAAAGACATTAGCATAGAACTGCATTTGATGACAGCAGTAAATTTATTATGTTTTAATGTGGCAAGACTTTAAAGAGAGTTTCATTATTATGTCCTTGGTTTTTAATTTTCACAAGAATTGTTTTAGAAAGACCAGTAATTGTGTAATTTGAGTTCAGGAAAATCTCATGGCATATAACTAAGCCTGACTTTCCGGCAGTGTAAAAGAAAATCTGGGGAAAACTTCCATATATTATGCTGTCAGCATTAAAATAGATCAACATGTATAAATAATCTTCCATTGACTTGCTAGTTACCTTCCTCTCAGGTATCCCCATTAAAATACAAACCAAAGTTTAATGAATCAAAAAGTTCAAACCTAGGTCCAACTCAGTCAGAGAGTTCAATCGAGGTCAGTCAAAGAGTTCAAATCTGAGTCAGTCAAAGAAACAAACAGGAGTAAAAAAAATGGTCAAAGAGTTCAGATCAAATCTGGGTCAAAATCAAAGAGTTTGAGTCTGAGACACTCACCATGTCATTGGCTCAATAAAACCAAATCTGCGTTAAATACTTACCTGTTTTGAGTTTTTCATTCCTTAGGAGTGATCTCCACTTTTCAGAATTCAAACTAATGATATATCCCTATGTTTACATTTAATCATTACAGAGTAAATGCAAAACAATATTGTGTGTGATTACAAATGTTACACTATATTACATTATATTTTTTTTTGTATTTTCTATAGGAGAGCATGGAAATGGTGTAACAGTTGATAAAGACAAGTTAGCGCCAGAAGAGCGTAAGAAATACGACGATGGTTGGCAGAATAACGCCTTCAATCAGTATGTCAGTGATCAGATCTCATTACATAGAAGTCTCAAAGATGTCCGTGATGATGAGTAAGTAGCGGCTTAAATAAAAAATGAGCCGTGTCACAACAAAACCAACATAGTATGTTTGCGACCAGCATGGATCCAGCCCAGACTGCGATTCCACGCAGTCTGATCAGGATCCATGCTGTTCGCTATCAGTTTCTCTACTTGTAATAGGGTTAGTAAGCGAACAGCATGGATCCTGATCAGACTGCGCGGATATGCAGGCTGGTCTGAATCCATGCTGGTCGCAAACCCATTAGGTTGGTTTTGTCGTGACACGGCTCAAATTCTTCTATGTCTTAAACGCCACTGTAAAATCTGTTTGTAAATCTCAAGACTATTAACTTACAGTTACACCAGTAAACACAGACAATACAAATCTCAGTAGAAGGGAATTGAAGTGTTGAACTTTGGTCAAATAGACTCCCAAAATATTGGTGTAGAATGGTAAAGGCATCATGACAGGCTTTCTACATGTACTTGGTCTCATTTTTGTGACATGTTTTCAATATATGGTCTTTGTGCCAGGTTTTTCTATATGGTCTTTATTCAAAAGTGGTCTTTATCAAAATACAAAAAAAAAATTATTGCAGAAACATTATTTTTCTATAATCATCTGTAATATTCAGCATTATGTGCCTGTGTTCAATTCCTGGCTACATCATTTTACAATGAGGTTTCTTATCATTTATTTCAGCTGGAATAATTTATTGTACACAATATATATTTAAGAGTCGATGTATTTTTAAAACAAATTTTACAAAAAGAAAAAAAAAACGAGACTTACATTTCACAATTGTCACTTTTTATGATAATCAATCAGTTGTCATAGATACTAATTTGAAAACAATTAAAACAGTTGATATATACTTAAGGAGATATAAATTCTAAAACATAAATCTTCATATGATAAAGGGAATATTAAAGGTCAACTTAAGTGATTCATACTGTATATGTTACCACAGAGACTTCATCTGGGTAAGTGCTGAGATATGAAAAGATGAAAGTATTCAACAAAACACTTAGTAAATTAATATCAACAATAATTTCTCCCTTTTGACTTTCTCTGGCAGAGTACACCAAAATGAGTCCTTTTAAAAAGCCAAAGAGAATACAAATGGTTTCAGTTTATTTTAGGACCATATGAATTGTATTTTTGATTTACTGTATACAATGAAGTTAAATTATAAAATATATAGATAATATGGCCTTGTTGTTTCAGTTATATATTAGGCTGCCTTAAGTCTGAAATGAGGGCAACAGCAGTCAAATGGATAAGACTTAAAGTCAAGAAATTACAAGCAAGCATACAGTAGATGGATGATTCTACCCGTCTGTTGATCACCAGCACACATATGCTTGAAATAAATTAATGGAATGGCAGTTCAAGCTTGCATATGCTCCTGAAATTTGTCTGATGACCTTGTTGACATTTAACCTTCAAAATGTCAGGGTCACTTAAAGAAATTAATTATACCCCCCTCACTCCCACACCTCAGTTTCCACTGTCCTTTAGCAAATCATCCCTCTTGATCAGCATTTTGTCACTGAAGACTGTGAAAAAATTCCAGCTAAACTTTTGATAGCAGACTGAACAATTTAAGTTATTTTTTAACACAGGTTTTGCAGTAGTCTGGTTTGCATAAAGGTTTGTGACATAAAGTGATGGCTTACAAAGGCTGCAGTCGCAATAGCACAACTATAGAACATGGCTAATCTAATTTTGTGGTTTCTCCAATATAATTTTGTGGAACTTCTGTAGATAAAAAACTTTGTTGTATACAATATCCCTATTATACTGGTATAAGCTGTGTGTGTGACAAACAATTAACCTTGCGTCTGTAAATGTAATTTTTGCCTATCTTATGTGTACATCATCACTTTACATTTCTATATCGTCTAGTAATTAGATTTTTTCCCCTCTCAATTTTCATTCATTACATTTTACATTGAAATTAAGTCTGCGAATTTTCAGGGAATGTTTAACAGGCTGTCATACGAAGCCTGAAAACTGATGGTGTATGATGCTGGTTGTCTGTGGTATTAAACGCTACAATTGGCAATGATCAAGCTATAATATTGGCAGTGTAACAAAATTTCAGTTTTTTTGAAAGTTGATAAATGTAACGTTTAAAGTTTAACAGAAAATATTCCAAAAATGAGCGAAATATGCTGATCGATAAACAATTATTTTGCTGCATTTATGGTAAAATTTTATACAAAGTGTGCATCAATAAAGATACACATTTCTTATAGTGTATTAACATTGCCTAGGACAAATTAATATGTACAAATATGACAAAAAAAACCCAAAAAACTTGGGACCTGGCAAATATGTTGCAAATGTCACTTATAATACTCAAGTGTCGTTAAGAACAAGTTATATAATGTATCCTTAACAGTGTGTGACTTTCCTAGTGCTAAGAGGGCATGGATGGTAGCTTGCACTTATCCAGTTAACTGTCCATGAACAGATATATAGATGCAATTTTTACCAGATTGCAATTATGACAACAGTTTATTTTAGCTACTGTATTGCAACATGTGCACCTTTAAGGTTTTAGTTGGTACTGAGAGATAATTGCCCTTGTGGCTGAGGCGTTACTTTTCAAGGTTGATGCATCAGCATCGCAGCCACCGTTTATCCCTACGTGACAGTGATAGTAAAGGATGACTACATGGGCCCGAAATTTTTGGAGTCTGTGCATCTCTTAGTTCTAGCAGGTGAGGTGGTTAAAAAATTTGACCCCAGGTGTTGCTTTAAGTTTGAAACACCCAAGGTTCAAGCCAAAATCATCTTTCCAGAGTGTATCGGCACCATATGACCTATTTTGTGTTGGTGCACGGTAAAACTAAACAAAACAAACATACTGAGAGATGTTGCGCTAGAGTCAGGTTTTGTATTTATTGTGAAGTTCAAGTGTTATGTTTTGGAAAAAATTGATGTGCCTGCTAAGAGGTTATTATGAATTTTACTCATGAGATTTTTCACCATTTGTATATAGTTTGAGACTATAGACATTTTGAGAAATTTAGCATAATTAAAAGCTGATTATATATTTATTTTATTTAGATGTAAGACGTTGAAATACCGAAGAAAGTTACCAGATACCAGCCTTGTTATATGTTTCCACAACGAGGCATGGACAGTACTTCTGCGAACATTCCATAGCGTTTTAGATAGAACACCACCCGAATTACTAAGGGAGATAATTCTTGTAGACGATTTCTCCGATAAAGGTTTGTAACAATGTTATAAGATTTTAACGCTTTGTGGAAAAAAATTACCACCTTTTTTATTTGGATTCAGACATGAACACGATGAAAAGAGATGAATTACTCTTTAAATGAGCCGTGCCATGGCAAAACCAACATAATGGGTTTGCGACCAGCATGGATTGCATCCGCGCAGTCTGATCAGGATCCATGCTGTTCGCTTACAAACCCATTAACAAGTAGAGATACTGATAGCGAACAGCATGGATCCTGATCAGACTGCGCGGTAGCGCAGGCTGGTCTGGATCCATGCTGGTCGCAAACGCAATATGTTGGTTTTTTCATGGCCCGGCTCAAATGAGATGGCATAGATACTTGAAAAGTATGATATTTCTACATCCCCGCCATATAATGTAGAGGGAGCTAAACTCATTACTGGAATTGGATTTTAATGTCATTCTCCACAATGTCTGCCCTATAAGTCGGATACCCTTTAAAGGATTTTCTTCAAACTTGGCTCAAATGTTCATGACAAGAAGGTGATTTGCCAAACCTATGCTGCCAATACAAAGTGAGGCTCAAGGTCACGGTTGAAAGTCAAATAGCGGGCATTTTTGTGTCCACTTTATAATCCCATACCCTTCTTAGTATATTTTTCATATTTAAGTACTCAAATGTTCACCTCAACAACAAGATATGCAGAACCTTTACCACCCCTGTTCCAGGTCACGGTAGCCCTTGAATGTTAAAAGTTGGACAATTTGGTTTCTGCACCATAAATTCTATACTTCTTGAATTTAGCTTAAATTTTCACCCTCAAAACAAATAAACAAATTGACCTACATAAAATCCTCTGTCATTAGAGATTATAGGCGTATAGGACCAGCTATGGTGTTCTAAGTCATTTGTCATTTGTTAATACTAGTATATGGGCATTTATCAATAAACAAAAAAAATATTTCATTGCTTAACAAAAGAAAAATAATACCAAATTCCTAATATAATCAAAAATTTTGATGCAAGGGATGATTCAATGTTTTCTGTATAAACATAGTGGTACAAAACGTGCAGAAAAAATGTTAGCTTGTAATAAAGTTAACCTCATTTAATTTCTTTTATTCAAGAGATGTTTGGTATTTATTCTGTTTTACTGCCCCCTTTTTTACAGAGACTATTCTTCCCTATAGACTTCTGTATCTTTTTATTAAGAAAATTGCATCATTTGGGTATAATACAAATGGTGAAACATTTTTGTTCCTGTCTCGGCCACAGGGACTGAAAAATGTTGAAACTGCAATATACAGTCAAATTTATATAAATATTTGAAAGGCTGTACTGCTTTAATTTCAATAATATGAATGACTAATTTATATATATAACTCTGTTTTCTTCACCTAGGAGTGATGTAAGTTATATGAATAGGTGTAACTCAGCAATATATGAGTAGTTTTACCTAAACAACATAGGACTAGTTAGTTCTACCTGAACAAAATGTAAATATTTCTTCCTAAATAGTATATGAATATTTCTACCTTGATAAGATATGAATAATTCTACCTTAGCAATATATAAAAAGTTCTACATCAAATATATATGAATACTTCTACTTCAGCAATATATGAATAGTTCTTCATCAACAATATAAAACAATATATTGAATGTTAAATAGCTTTAGCAGCTAATTAAATAAGCAAGATTTCAAAAAGAAAACAAATAGTAAAGAAATCATAATGTTTCTGTAATTTTTAACCACAAACAGTAAACACTTTTCAAAAGAAGTTGTTTTGCTAAAAAAGTTTGTATCTTGTGAGTAAGATTTAGCGAAAATTGTCAAACATTCTTGGAAAATTTCTTCATTTTAATCCTCTACCACAGAGATTAGAGTGTCTTAATGTCTATTTATGGTATTTTAATCTAAATTGCCTCTTCAATTTCAAACTGAAGCTTTCAGGCTCAATCTTCTCCAATACACTCCATGTCGTTTGATTATACACTATCATTATTTCAAGATTACAGTCATACTATGTAACTCAGAGGAATCGTTTTCCGTTTTTCCGTTCCCCGCAGTTATTAATATTGAAAGAAAATTTATATTCTCTGTTATTGAACAGAATCCATTCATCTAAATATATGTTCTGTTTGATAGTTGAATTCTTTTTTTTTTCCAAGTCGTTCCGAGAAATATGAAGCAATTTATTCTGGCACCATTGTTCAGGATATGGTTAATAACACTCGGAGCTGCGGAGATTCTTTGAAAAGATTTCATGATATCGTCATACATAATATCTGTAATTAAACCTAGAATGGATTTTTATATTTCTGCTAGATTGTAAAGAGGCCTCAAGTTTCAAAGTAAATGCTCTACCAATGTTTGAATGAAGTGGAATATTGTTATGAAAGAGATATAAAAGCCCATTTAATATTGTTATCCATTATATAAATGCATTTGCTCAAATGCAACAAAATGTTGAATCAATATGTAAAACCATTTTTTCCCCTATTGAGTTTTAAGTCATGCCTACACACTTGTAATTACAATGTCTATATTGTTCCATTGCTGCATTTTAAGTCAAAGAGATTAAATAATGTTGGTTTTGTTCCATTGAGTTAAACATAGTTTAATACAGTGTAATGTCTTGTTTCCTCAAGTTTTTAGTCATGCTACATTATTAAAATTTAATAGATGTAGTGGTTATATAAAATTTGTTTTGTTTATAATTGAGTTTCAAGTCATGCTTACATAAAACATATTGGTTTTATAATAGGTTTTTTTTTGTTTCCTTAAGTTTATTGTTTATTACATTATGCTTGTTCAGTTTCATTTGGTTTAAGTCACGCCTACATTGTACTGAGTGGTTACAATACTGTTTGTTTTGTTGCATTGAGTATTATTAAGCCATGTATATATTAAATGTGGTGGTTATATCATGTTTGGGTTTTGTTTGTTTATTTTTGCTTTGAGTTTAAGCCATGCTTACATTAAACAATGTGGTTATATTTTTGACATGTTTGTTTTGTTGCAATGAGTTTAAAATCATGCCTCTATAGTGGTTTTATCAGGTTTGTCATGTTTTGTTGATGCAAGTTACACAAAGGTCAATATCATTATTGTGTTTGTTACAGAAGACATTAAGTACGTCTCTTACTGTTGCAACATTCACACAGTTTTTACTGTCAGCAATAATTTTGGCCATCACAAGGTCGTCTGTGTTTAACGAACATCTTTGTTTTTAGTTAATTTCCTTTATAACAGCAGTTTTGTGTTTCAACTTAAAATGTTTGGAATTTTTGTGTGTCTTATAATAAATTTACAATATTAGTACTAGGCGGGGGTATGTTTTATTTATCTTTGGCTTCCTTTTTTCTTAGGGTTTATTTTTCCTTTGGCTTACTTGAAAACTGTCAAGCTAAAGTGACAGTCACATACATTTGTGAGGAAGTGTGTAATCAAATAAGCTGTCTGATATATCTGCAGTAGAACGTTATCTGAAAACATTCAATTAGAGAATTATGAGGTATAAGGGAGAAGGAGAACAGCATTGGAAGTTAGACAAAGAAAATTACTAGTATCTGTCTATTGTTTGAAAAAGCAGACGACTCTGTAATGAAAGCTGTCAGGATTGAAGTGATGGGTTGCAGGACCGCAGTTTTTTGTTTTTATTTCTTTTGTCCAAGAATAGAAATACCCTGCAGTTTAAGTATAAGGATTCTGTCTGGCATTGTAATTACAATTTGCTTTTTTGATAAGATCTGTAATGGTTTATTTTTAGGCATATATTTATCTTTTTAATTTCAACATAATGTATTTTAATGGGTGATGTGATAGCTACTAAGTCTGTTCTTAGCTGTGTGATAATGTTGTACTCTCTCATTTTGGGAACTATACAGCCAGTCTAAAATAAAAACTCGCAATATTGATGGTGACCGCATTTCAAAACTAAATTGACTGAGATATGAATGCAGTATTTGCAGGCCTGTCAGAAGATCTTATAGAGAGGTACGTCGGAACTCTGCAAATTCAGGTGTTGTGACCCCAGCTATGCCCGGGTACATGCCAACTTTTACAGTGACAACTATATACAGATATTAAGCCAAACATGTTGATCACTCTGTTGCGAAAAAGAGTGCCTCGTGAAGCATATTTAGTAACAGTAAAAGTTTGTTTGTATATACCCTGAATAATATTAGATGGGAAAAACTAAGATTTGTTGAGTTCAGATTACCTCTATTCTATTATACAGACATTCAGTAAAAATGAGGGTGAATAAAGCTCAGTTTTATTTCTTCAATTTGCCATAATTAAATTTTCAATCAGAAAAGAGAATATAGAGTCATTTCAGGTCTGGCAATATTTAAATAAGATAATTTATTTCTTTTGGAAAAATATCCCCAATTTCATTAGCACTGTCAGTGGTTTTATGTGCGCTCACTGTCTGAAAGGAAGGTCCCCCGAGAAAGCTTGACAAGATATCGGCCCTGTAATCTCATAAAAATTCATTAGTGAAGGTTGTGAACATTTTGAAAACTCGTCTTTTTTAAAGAATTTGTCAAGGAGATGTTGTGTAATTAAGAAGACTTGTGTGCCCTGAGATAAATGGACACCGTGATAACAAGGCAAAGTTAAACAAATCTATTTTTCACTACAAATAAGAAAAGATAGATAGAATCTATCTATTTATTTTTATGGCAAAATTTAATATGAGTTTTTAAATTACCCAATTATTTGTATTTTTCTCTTTTACAAAAAAAATGCCTTTTCATTTTATGAATGAAATAAATTATGTTTTCTGCGTGATCATGCTTTAGATCATCAGCAGATTATATATAATTTGCTCCAACATTGTTCATTTTAACTACTTTTTTATAAAGGACAAAAAATTATCAAAAATACTTAGATAGTTGGTAACTTGGCAAACAATGCTTCCTAATAATTTAGATTAATATTCCATATTTGGTATTAATAAACTTCGAAAGTAAAGTTGATTGGTTTACAATGGGCACATTAACATGTTCCATTAGAATTCAATATTGATAAAAACAATAGAAATGTATGTCATTTAGATTAATGCTTAAAATATAAATTGAAAATTAATGTTGATAATGTTTTAAATGATTTAGTTTGAACATTTTATATGATGAAAAATAATATTTTGTTCTCAAACATTTTATTATCTGCTATATAAATATATGTAATATGGGACCATGTTTCTCACAAATCCATCAACATTCAAGTACATGTGTACTAATCTTTCATGGTTTGTTGTTGGTTATTATTTATTGTATTACCTACCTTATGTTATAGACCAATTCCCTTTAAAGTCTCATCATTAAATTTATTCATTAAGGAATGAGGATCTTCAATTTTTATAGCAATGAAATTTATAGTTAAAATATGAAAGTCCATGTACAATCATGTAATAATAAATATAAAGAATAAAAATAAGGAATAACACAAAATCAAAATAAGCAATAGTATAAAGTCGGTGTATTTCAAACAATATTATTTTACACAAATTCAAAGTAAGCAGCAGTACCATATTGTCTCTATTTAACGCCCCCAGGGGCTTGCATTTTTCCAAGAGGGGGGCACTAATTAGAGAGGAGGTGTTAATTGGAAACAGTATGGTAGTTCCATAGTAATGGTGAATGACATAAGCACAATTTCTTAGGAAAAGCAGAAGTCAGATTGAATAATTTAAAAGAGATCTACCACATATACAGTTTATTCAATTAAATTAAAGTGCATATTTAAAGTAAGCAGACTAGTTAAACAAATTCAATCAGCAATCCGTTCATAGTTATAATTGTACAAATTTTCCCATGTTATTCAGTTTAATTAAAGTGCAAATTAGCAGTAAGCAGTTGGTTAAACAAATTGAATCAGCGCATACCATATAGTACTTGCACAAATTTTCTCTCCTTCACTATTTTCTTGTATTAATGATTAATCGTTCTTAATTGAGTCATTCTTTGTTAAAATTGTTAATTAATCATATACTGTAGTTAACAACATTTTCTTTAGTAATACCACACGCTATAGAATAGGCTTTAAATTAAAGTAAATATTACCTTCAAAGATCTCCTTTATTAGGAAGGGAAAGTAAAGTAATTTAATCAAATACATAGTTCTTGCTCTTAAATTTGTTCGAATTTGTATGGTATGGAAGTGGAAACACTTTGCAAAAAAAAAATCAGAATTACAAATCTTTCTTCTTTATTGGATTCACAGAAATTTGGAATCAATAAATCAAGTGTAATCTATTTTGCCAAGAAAATGAGAAAAATCTTGATTACTTCACAACTCAAAATTTTGACATAAAAGGATTGTTTATGCAGAAAGGGGGCATTCTTCTTATGGTGGTGGTAGTTTACCCTAAAACAGTGGTCATTATTCTTGCAATGGTGGCAGTTTATGCTAGCCTAAAACAATGGCCATTTAATTCTTGCAATGGTGGTAGTTTACCCTGAAACAGAGGGTATTATTATTGCAATGTCTGTAGTTATAATGTTGAAACATTGCAGTATTATTCTTGCAAAGGTTGTAGTTTCTGCTGAAACAGTGCAGCATTATTCTTGCAATGATGGTAATTTATGCTGAAATAAAAAAAAACAGTGGTTAATGTTCTTGCAATTTTGGTTGTTAGTTTATGCACAAAAGGATTATTATTTTTATCAATAGAAAAATTAATGTTAACTGTTAAAAAAATATTCTGACTTAACATTAATTCTTCAATCATCATAAAAATAGGTTTAAATTTTACTGCAGACATTGTTAATGAAGGAATCCTGCAGGCTTATGTGTATTAAGTGTTAGTGGTTCTTACCAGGTGACAAATAGCACATGTACTAGAAATAAATGTTTGGAGAGATATGTTGGAAAGTTGCTTAGCCTTAATGATCTTATTGTGACATAATATAATGCTGGTGTATCTAAAAACCCTGTTCTTAATAAAAAATTATAGAGGAAAAATAACAATTAGAAATCTCACACATTCTGTTATGTATATAAAGATCCTTTTCTTGAAACTGTTCCATTTACTGAAAGACTAAAAAAACCACTAAGCTATAGAGAAAATCATTTTACAAATGACTTCACAGTGTTACATCCATTTAACAAAAGTGTTTTAAAGTAAATTAGGAGGTAAGAAAATAGAATTGTTAGCCAGACGTTATAAATCATAAGGTGGTAAAACCCGTTGATTATACAACTTCTCAGATTCTTAGATTAAGATGTTTCCCTCATTAAAGAAAATAATTGACAGATTGAGGAGAAAGGTTCTCCAATTAGTCACATGAACTTTAAGGCAAGAACATTCTGAATACTTTATTTGTGTCTACAATTACTTCTTACCAAATCAGTATATTAGTGTAATGGGCTTGTTCTATTTTGATTTCAGTGATATTTTCCCCAATATTTTACAGCCAAATAAAGGCTGATTCTCCTAGCCCAAAATGTGTATATTTTCCCCCTTAAAAATGTTATGTTTTCCCCGTTCTAAAGATAGCCTCTGCTAATTGTAGCATGCTTGTTAAATTGAATTGAAATTGAAAATTTTATAAAAAATGTACAGATTTAAATATAAAAGAAACTCATAAGTTGCCTTCTGAATAGTTGCCAACATGTCATTCTCACAAATGATCTTGAAAAGCAAATACTTTCCGGGGAATATTTGTAATGAGGATTAAAAAATAATGTCATAACAGCCTTGTGTGCTAGTTCATTTCATTCAAATTGATTTTAATATAAAAATTAGAGGTCTGTTTACTTTAATGCCAAGTAACATGTGGCATATTTTTTCCTATGTGTTATGTCAGGAATTTTAAATACGTGTGGAAATATCCACTTATACAGTATTTACAAAATTCAAGATATATTCCTATGAAAAAGTCTGATTTTTTTTCTGTTTCCTCATAGCCTATGTCTTTTTTTACAGAGCATCTAGGGAAACAGCTGGAAGATTACATCAAAGATTATCCAAAGGTGAAGGTTGTGCGGACCAAACAGAGGGAGGGGCTTATAAGGGCACGCCTTCTTGGGTTTGCCAATGCTGTTGGAAGTGTGGTTACCTTTTTAGACTCGCATTGTGAATGTGCTGTAGGTATGTATAACAAATTTTAAGAAAATTAAATCCAAAGTTACTTTATAAAAAATGTATCTAAAGTAACTTACCTTAAATACAGATTATGAAATAAATACTGAATTGTAAAGATATTTTGTGTGATTTACAATGACATAATTGCTTGCAAGGGACACATTTTGAAAAGTTTGAAATCAAAAGGATATCACAAAAAATTATATTTGAATAGATAGATGGTATAATAGATATAATTATACTCACTTAGATCACATAATCTTCAGGGTAAGTTGATGCCATGTATCAACTAACTTCCTTAGATTAAGCGTCCCCTGTTACCTGATGCAGCACATCGACTAATCCCCTTAAATCAACTAACCCCCCTGTAGCAGCTCTTTTAAGTGAATTCCAGGTTTAATAATTATTCCATCTTTAGATAATACCCTGTTTAAAGAGATTTTATTTTTCAACTGGAGAAAAGGTTTAAAATTGGATAGGCATGGTTAAAAGCATGAAGATTTGTTTTATTTTCTTAGCATAACTTTTTGAAATGGAACAACAAAAATCAATTTTTCATTGCTACAAAGCTAGAAGTACTTAAAACAAATAAATTGCAAAGCATTATATGAGAATCTTTTATTGATTATGAATCATGTTATTTTTTTGTTTGCATATTAATCTTATTCAATGCTTTTTGTAGTATCTATGCAAAGTTAAAAACTATATATAATGCAGTAGAACTTTGATATGTAGATTTGCTCAATGTGTCGAAGTAAAATGAAAGGCCTTTGATTATTTACATTTTATTAAAACACGTTATTCACTGTGAGTCAAAAGTCCGCTATTGTGTATCAAAGTCTTACCAAGTTCTCTCAACTTTGGAAACAAGGAAGTCTTAACGTCTGACACAGTTTTATATACAGCATAGATTTATCATTGTATTCTTACATCATTTGACTACTAATGAACTGTCTATTGAAGTGCATGTCAAAATGTTTAAGTTTTGTTAAGCAGCCAAAAGAATTAAACATTGTCCTAGCAGAAATACTCAGACTAGGCTGACTTTAGTCTGGTTCAACATGTATATTGTCACCTAAGTGCAGTAACAGGTTAATTCCTAATAAAATTTAATTGGAGTTAATCTGTTACTGCACTAATGTGACAATTAGTTATTATGGTAGGTGCATCAGTATCATTGCAAGTTTAAAGAAAGAGTTAACTTTATGTAGATTTTTGTTATGTGGACTTTTGTTTCTATAACAGGATGGGTTTCTTCACTAGTATAATGCATCAAATTGATCCTGTCTTATGATTATTATGCCAAACTCTTTTGTAACATTTTGACATTGTCGCTTATTGACATCATGTAATGCCCACGTAATTTTCTGTTGATTGTTTATTATTTATCTACCCTGAAGAAGGCTGTTCAGCTGAATCATTGGTATATTAAAGGGAATTTTAAGAATTTGCAGTTGACTACTTACTTTTTACTTTTTTTATAACAGGATGGGTGGAACCATTATTGGATCGCATAGCAGAAGATAAACGCAATGTTGTATGCCCGGTGATTGATGTCATCGAGGATGATTCATTCAAGTATCAGTACGGGAACGCGAGGTCAACAAGTATAGGAGGATTTGACTGGAACCTTCAGTTTAACTGGCACGCTATTCCAGAAGACGAGCGTGCAAGACGTGATTATAAGGATTATGCACCAGTCAGGTTTGTACATGCTTGGATTTTCATGCCATTGTAAATGCGATGAATTCCTACTTTAACGTCCATTTTTCGGGGAAATGAATGGACATTTGTTTTGCTATAGAAAATTGATAAGGCCACTTTGGTTCACTTTTGATTATTGGTTCTTTGATTAACTTTTTCTCCCTTTAAAGGTGCAGTTTTTTTTAAGCCTGTTTGATGAATAAACTGTCCAAAAAGCTGTGTTTAGATTATTTGTTGAAATTTCATGTATAAATTATCTAAGTGCTGAATTTAAGGTTGAATAAGTGGTTATATCCAATCCTCTTTCTCCTTTTATCCAACATGTAATTCCCCCTTTGACCACTTCTCTCCCATTATGTTCTTTCTACTCTTGCTCCCACATTGTCCCAATCTTTCTCCATTCCTTCTTTCCAGTCCTGATTCCTTAAATTTTCCCCCTACATGATGACTTTACATGTTGGAGCAGATTGTAATACGGTTTACATTACAGTTTGGAAAAAAAAACTGCCTCTTTATTGCTTTAAAATTTGTTCCTTATTAATGTAAAACGAATGAAATAACTCTAAAACCGATCAGAAATAATGAAATTTGGGGGAAATTTCAAGAGAATGTTTTGAGATATTTAAGTGTGGTACAAGAAAGCAATAGAGAATTGACAACAAGACTGCAGTTGACATTTCAAATTAACAAACTCGATTGAAACAGACGTAATGATTTTCTCCAATTCTCTCGAGACATCTTTACTATTAGTTAAGATGGCTAACGTTAAATTATTTATTGTGTGAAATGTCGCCTAGGTATATGAGACTTCCATTTCTAGTTAAGATCCGTCTGGTTTTGAAGTGTCTTTTGGCAAATTCTAAATGAGCATTTTTTTCCCTAGCTATATAATGAGATATAAAAAAATCACTTTAGGTTGGAGATTATTTTTGTATCATAACATGTGATTGGATAACTGTTTTTGGGGATTAGAGAGTATAGTTGTTTCCTAACACTTGATTGGTTTATTTCTGTACTTTTCAAAATTGAATTGACCAATAGGAAGGTAGCATTATTGAAATTATCTGCCAGCCACAGAAAGAGTTGATGAAGTAAGCATTTACTGCAAGATGATATGAAAATGTACTGTTATATGTTAAATGGATGAAAATCAAAATGATGAAATAGGTCAGAAATTTCCCTCAAGATAACTTGTCAGGAAAGTAATCACTGTAATGTTATGTGAACTAATTAGGTCTGGAAAATAATGTGCAGATGGTTGATGTTGTGTGTAATATCGGTACATGCACACAGGTGTTCACTATCTAGATTAAATAACAAACTAATTAATGTTATTATAGGCAAGTGCTTTTTATTTTCATTGTCTCAGTCTTCCCTTTTTAAGGACAATTAGTTTGGAATAAAAACAAACAAAAAATAGTTTAAACAAGTATCTTATTTTAAAGCAATTCTATCTTTTTATAACATAAATACATTTGGCATGTTTGGTGTGACTTTGTTATTTACAATGTACATATCTGCAAACTGTCTAATTGTGTTGCATTTGTCATTGATACAGGATATTGAGTGAGTGTAGGTTCTATAATGAATTAATTTTATAAGTTGAATAAATTATTTTATGGGAGACTGGATATTATTTCAGTCATTCAGTAATGAAGCTATACAAAAATAATAATCTTTTTATCACATACCCAAAATAAAGAGCAGTTAACAAGTAGGAGGGAATCATTTTTCATCAATATGCTTCTATAATAACACTAACAGCATGACTTTTTACTGTTCCTATAATGTAGATCATGTCCGGTCAAAATAGATTAGCACCCATGCCAGATCAGTTTTCTAAAATCTGCACAGTGATGTGATTAACCCTTTAATGATGACAATGCATAGTAAGAATAATGCACATACAAGTTCTGTCTTAAAATGTTTGAAGTGTTCAACTGCATCCTTTTTACTTTGATGACTATAAATACAGCCTCTGACAACTGTATCAAAGAATAGATATTTTAGATCTGTGGTCTAGAGAATTCTATTTATTTGTTTGTGAGCAGGTCAGGTCATGAGATTTGAGCATTTTCATTCATGCAAAGATATTTTTCTGTAGTATACCAGAAGCATAGTCAACAAATACCTGTCTATGTACGACTGTCACATACTTTGAGAAAACTGGTGTCATATCTTAATAAAAGAAACCTTTTTATTTAATTTCAGGAGTCCAACTATGGCTGGAGGATTGTTTTCAATATCACGGGAATATTTCGAGACCCTAGGCACTTACGACCCTGGTATGGATATTTGGGGAGGCGAAAATTTAGAATTATCTTTCAGAGTAAGTGTTGTGTATGGTTTTGATTGAAGTATTTAGTCACTCTATACTGTAATGATGGATGTTTATTATTGTTTGAATTATTTTCTGCATTGTTTTTGTTAAATAAAATGTATTAATGTTCCCAGGCAGTGGACTTGAAAGTGAATGATATAAATTCCAAGAACTTGTTTCGCAATCGAGCTTAAATAAATATGTTTAAACCAATTCTTGCAACATATGGAAATTGATGATTGAATTGCTATTTTGAATCTTTGTTTGTATTGTCATAGAAAACAGAAATTGCATTGGACACATATCATTGTCATGTTAGAAATTGAAAAACTGTTAATTAACAAAGCCATAAAATTTTGTTGGAGAAAAGTTTGGGGGGTGGGGGATCAATATAACTTTGAACATATCAAAAAAATGATTTTAACTTTTGTTTAGGTGAGTAACAATGGGCCATCATGTGTACCTTGTGCTGAGACTGCTCTGTTAATAATTGTACAGTTTTTTTACAGCAATAAAGATATAATAAATCTCTGTGCCGAAAACTGCTCAAGTATGCCTGACAATGTTTGTATTATGTAGTGACAATTTGTGATCTCCGTTTTACAAGATAACAGCAATAAATTATTCCTTATCTCACTGAAAGAAGAATTAAATGCTACAATAATGCTGGTGTGAGAATCTCTCTATAATTGTTATTGTATTGTTGGGTGGAGTGGCAGTTTTTCAGTCATATATCACCTGATGACTGTACCGGGTCAGTACTGACCTGTTTTCTCTTCAAGTGGCTGCAAACTTCTCCTCATGAATCATTTTAAACAGCAGTAGCAGTTAAACAGAAATAATGCACTGAGAGGCACTTTAGGTCTTTTTCCACCAGAAAAAAAAATGTAAAGTGGCCCTATGACCTTGACTATGTTGGTGTGACAAAAAGAACAAAAAACAAACAAACAAGCCTACTTGAATCATTAGTCTGCTGGCCGCAGCTGAATCTGACCCATGTGACCACTGTACATGCTGTAGTCCAAAATCAGCTGACACATCAGTACCATCTGATAATTGGTCTGCAATGTTCACTGTTCAGTCAGTATACATGTATATTTTGAAAATTTCCTAAAAATGATAAAAGTCCATTTAAGATATTTAGGGCAGTAAGGGTTGAACATAATTGTTGTCAAAGCCTATGTTTTAAATTCAAGATCCCAGTCCCATCAACTTTAGGCTCCCTATAACAAGTTGTTTTATTATAACAGGCTTCCTTTACTTGTTTTAAAATGCAGATTGCATGTTATAATTGCACAGGTTTTATTCATCAAGCGTTTGAACTCTGTTCATATATATGTTTATAAATTTGATGCATGTTAATTAATGCATTTAATTTATATTGAAATGCTGTTTATGATGACAGTTACAGTTTTTGATCGTGCCAGAGCTGAACTGTTATTGCGTTTTGAAATTTGAAATTGAGACATTAAGATTAATAAAATTAAACTTTTTTCTGGCCCCACTCATTCATATATTTGAATGACCTCCATGTTGGTTAAGCATTTTAAATTAGCATGCCTCCAGTTTTGTGTTGATTTTTCAGCAACTGTTGTTATTTTGAGCCGCACCATGGCAAAACCAACATAGTGCGTTTGTGACCAGCATGGATCTAGACCAGCTTGCGCATCCGCGCAGTCTGATCAGGATCCATGCTGTTCGCTAACAAACTCTATTACAAGTAGAGAAACCGATAATGAACAGCATGGATCCTGATCAGACTGCACAGATGCGCAGGCTGGTCTGGATCCATGCTGGTCGCAAACGCACTATGTTGGTTTTGTCATTGCACGGCTCAAATATATTTTCCTTAAGTTTGATTTTTTGAAGATATATTTATGTATTTTGACTTGTTCAGCTTTACGGGGTTTTATTTAAAGTAAATTTTTTGTCTGTGACTTTACAGGTGTGGATGTGTGGTGGGAAACTAGAAATCATTCCTTGCTCACATGTGGGTCATATATTCCGTAAACGATCTCCGTACAAGTGGCGAGGTGGTGTAAATGTTGTCAAGAAGAACTCTGTGAGACTAGCAGAAGTGTGGATGGATGAATACAAAAACTATTACTACGAAAGATTTAATCATGATTTGGTAGGTAACATTTTATTTACAATGGATATAACAATGCTTTTTGGGATTGTATCAATCAATGCATTTTTGATTAATTCTTTTTGAATGTTGCAGAATTTGTTGAGTTTTGTTCTTTTTCTTCTTTTTTTGGCAATACCTTGGATGTATAACAAATCAGGGTTCATTTTAACCAATAATCTGCAGGTCCATTTTAACCAATAATCTGCAAAATGGATTTGAAAAATTCTGTTGAATTAAAAAGTAAATTATAAATATCTCACAACTTCTGAATTAGTTTTTCTTATTTTCATTATTTTACAGGGTGAATTTGGAGATATTAGCGAGAGGAAGAAATTGCGTGAAAATTTGAAATGCAAAAGTTTTGACTGGTTTGTGAAAAACATATATCCTGACCTTTTTGTACCGGGCGAATCTATAGCATCAGGGGAGGTAAGAATGTGTAACATTTTACATATTTATTTTCTCAACAAGTAAATCATGAGAAGGAGAGGACACACGTCAAACATAAGGATGGTTTGTAAACTGGTTTATTTAAGGATCTATTGATTTCGGTCTTTCAAGACCTTCATCAGGAGGCTTTTTATTTTCTGTAAAGGAAGATTGTAAAATATTATGTAATATTCATTTTATGCCAGAGGATTTAAGACTGTATCAGAATTTAGATATTTAGTTTATGCCAGGGGAAGTAAGACGGTACTGTCATGGTTTGTTTATCCTATCATGTCTGTTTAATAACATTTAAGAGTTACAGATTTTCAGGTGTGTGTTAGGGGAAAACAAGATTAGATATATTTTTGTGGACAGGGGGTGTTTGTGTTTTTGCTTCACAAACTAGTTGTAATTTTACTACTTTTTGTCATATTAAGGCCTTGCCATTAACTCTTGACAAAAAATGAGATTCAGCTATAACATGCTCTAACTAAATAGCCTTTACCACCAGTATAGAGCCAAGCCAGCCTGCATATTCATGTACTTTCATCAGGCTATTTGCTGTTGGTAGCAAAATTTTTGTAATTTGATATTAGAATGTTTCAAACTTTGAATGGATTGCTCAAAATTCAAACCAGGGCAAATCCTTTATAGAAATTCAGCCGGTTTAAGGTTCAGGAGCATCATATAATGACATATATAGCTGAGTGAATTTCATGTCTTTGCCAGTAATAACCCTTTAACATAGAAATAAATTGCCTTTTATATTCACAGATAAGAAGTAAGGCCAAGCCAATGTGTATAGATAGTGCTGTAGATAGTCAGAATTATCATAAGCCGGTAAACATGTGGCCTTGCCATAACCAGGGTGGGAACCAGTACTGGATGTTGAGCAAGAATGGTGAAATACGTCGAGATGACGGTTGCCAGGACTTCTCTGGCGGAGCTAATGTGATAATCTACCCTTGCCATGGTCAAAAGGGGAACCAGGAATGGGATTATAGAGAGGTAGGTGTATATACTGGTTCCAATCTTTATGTGTTTTTATTTAATTGAGGGATTAATTCAAAATGAGATGAATATTCATCATATTTCACATACTTAATGTTCTATAAAAAGATAAATATTTAACGTATTTCACTCACTAATTCATTTAATATGGAATATATTTCACTATGAGAAATAACATTTGTTGTATTTCACTTGCAAAATACACACTCTTGAAAATAAAGAAAATCTTCATTTAAACTGAGATAATTAATGGAAATCTTCATTTATTCTGAGATAGATAATGAAAATCTTCATTTAATCTGAGATAAATAATCAATATCTTCACTTATTTTGAGATAGATAATGGAAATTTTCATTTATTCTGAGATAATTAATGGATATCTGGAAATTTTCGTTTCTTCTGAGTTAAATAATCAATATCTTCAACTATTCTGAGATAAATAATGGAAATCTTCATTTATACTGAGATTATGATGCTAATCCTTATAGTATAATGCATCTCAAAAGAAATGAAATATTGTCTTTGTATTTTCAGGACAATACTATTGTTCATGTCAATACAAACAAATGTATGACAGTGTCATTGGATGGTCAAAAACTTTTGATGGAGAAATGTACGGGTATAGATCGTCAAATTTGGACATGGAAAAGAAAGTCGCCCAGCGGACTTATACGGGCGGATTAGAACTTATACGGGCAGATTAGGATTTATACGGGCAGATTAGCTGATAGTCATAGAATATTTATATTTTGTTAAAAAGAGATAATGGTACCAAATGTTGTCATGTAAAGACAGGAAATAAAGGAGGAATAGCTCAGCTTGAGGGGGAATGTGTCATATTGTAGATGCTAAATATAGATATGATATCCCTTATGATATTATAGGATAGAAATTGTATTTTTTTTTTCAACAGAAGTGTATGAAACTACAAAATGATAATTAATTTGTAGTGGCTTCAAATGAATTTTACTTGGTATTTGGTGTTGCATTCATGATAATAAGCATTCTTGATAATAATTCTATTGATGATTATTTATTCTTCAAATGAAATTACATGATTTCATATTCTTTCTTTTTTCTTCTTTATATTTGATATAGTTGAATATATGAAAGGAGTAGGCTACAAGTTTATCTGCAGTATTTTCTAACATTGCCATAAGTTTTCACTGGTTTGGCAGAGATTTGTCAGTTCTGTCAGTCTATTGATATAAAGATCATTTCAAGGAATGCAGAACCTTGATGTTTTATTGCATTGTTTCTACTTATAAAGTCTGCTTTCTTTCTGGGAAAAAACAAAACAAAAACAAACATCAGAAGTTATGATTGTTCAATATAGATAGGCAGTCAAGATACAGATTTATATCAGTATTACTTTGATATGATACCACAGACATAAAAGATGATATATATAGATGCTATTTGAAGGTTTAATAGCAACATTGCACTTTCTTTGTTCTTGAATATGATGTTTCTTGAAGGTTTAATAGCAACATTGCACTTTCTTTGTTCTCAAAGAAGATGTTACTTGAAGGTTTAATAGCAACATTGCACTTTCTTTGTTCATATTATTGAGATATGTCGATATATCCATAACTCCTTGTTTTAAAGGTGTAGATACTATCATTTCATGATTTTCTGATTAATTAAAGGGGTTAACCTCCAGAATTGATAAGCTTTACAGGAGTAATGTTTGTACTTGTCTGCTCATACCTTGTAATCATGATTATTTATTTAGCAATTTGTTATATAATAATTGAATAGGTGTATTGGGGGGGTCTTCAAAAGATAAATGAAATAAGTCAGTGTATACAAGAAAAGTAGGAATATACATTCATTGCAGTCTGTTACTTAAAATTTTAAAAATAGAAAAGACAGGGTTAATGGTTATTAATTTCAGTTCGTTAACATATTGTTTTATGTTTAGTTTTTTTGTTATTTTTGTTGGTTTGTTTTTCCAGTGTTTCTTTGCCTGTTTCCACTAGTTTTGTTTGTAAGTTTGAACTATTAGTCATGCTTACTTCCAGTCTTGAAAGTCATGCTCAAAAAACCAAGATAATTTCTTGAAGTGTGCAATGTTCATTGTAGCTGCATCAGAGTTTTTGTGTTTTACACATATTAGATTAATTTTGAATATTGATTGCATATTTAGATTGAGTATATCAATTTTATACAGTAAGAATAACTTTTTAAATGAGATATATGTGGCTAAGATCTGGTGGAACAGTTTTTATTAGCTCACCTGTCACAAAGTGACAGGGTGAGCTTTTGTGATCGCTTTTCGTCCGGCGTCCGTCCGGCGTCCGTCCGTAAACTTTTGCTTTAAATGACATCTCCTCATAAACCACTAAGCCAATTTCATCCAAACTTCACAGGAATGTTCCTTTGGTGGTCACCTTTAAAAATTGTTCAAAGAATTTAATTCCATGCAGAACTCTGGTTGCCATGGCAACCGAAAGAAAAATCTTTAAATATCTTCTTTTAAACAACCCTAAGAGCTAGAGCTTAGATATTTGGCATGAAACATCCTCTAATGAGTGTCTACCAAGTTTGTTCAAATAAAAGCCCTGGGGTCAAAATTGGCCCAGCCCCAGGGGGTCATTGATTTTCCCTATATGCATATAGTAAAAACTTAAAAAATCTTCTTTTAAAGAACCTTAAGAGCTAGAGCTTAGATATTTGGCATGAAACATCTTCTAGTGAATGTCTACCAAGTTTGTTCAAATAAAAGCCCTGGGGTCAAAATTGGCCCCACCCCAGGGGGTCATTGATTTTCCCTATATGCATATAGTAAAAACTTAAAAAATCTTTATTTTAAAGAACCCAAAGAGCTAGAGCTAAGATATTTAGCATGAAACATGTTCTAATGGGTGTCTACCGAGTATGTTCAAATAAAAGCCCTGGGGTCAAAACTGGCCCCGCCTCGGGGGTCATTGATTTTCCTTATATGTGTATAGCAAAAACTTAAAAATCTTCTTTGGAAAAACCCAAATAGCTAGAGTTTAGATATTAAGCATGAAACATCTTTAAGGAAATATCTACAAAGTTTGTTCAAATAAAAGCCCGGGAGTCAAAACTGGCCCTGCTCCAGGGGTGTCATTGTTTTTAACTATATATGTATAGTAAAACCTTAAAAAATCTTCTTTTTAAAAAACCCAATGAGCTAGAACTTAGATGTTTAGCATGAAACATCTTCTTATGGGTGTCTACCAAGTCTGTTCAAATAAACAAATAAAATCCCTTGGGTAAAAATTGGCCCATGGGGGGGGGGGGGCTATATACAGGTGAGTGACCTTAGGGCCATCATGGCCCTCTTGTTGTAAAATTCAGTTAAACAACTTAATGGTGACCAGTCTTAAAAATTGCATAAGTGGAATCTCAAACGCAAAATTTTTGAAAAGGATAAAAATAGATACTCTTTTATTGACAAGTTATTTTTTATCAATTTGAATAGGGCATATTTCTGTATATAGAAGGCATATACATTGCAATTTTGCAAAAGAGAATAATGAAGACAGATGGAAATGTTCAAACGTTTAAACATATGTAAAACAATAGGGAACAGACCATACTGTTAGCACTAATTTGAAAAGTGAAAAATAGTCTTTGAAATTAGATATTTTCAAAGATTTCAATGTCTTCAATATGTGGTCTTTTATCAGATGTGGTCATTAAAATAAGTTTAAATGTTTTGATTCATCACAACTTAAATTGTTAAACTTCTGGTTTCTGTCACAATGCCCAAGGACATACAGTGTCTCCTACAAATTATACCAAAGATGATTGGTTTTCTGGCTTTTTATTTATCTTTTTTTCTGCAATCTAATATTATTTAAAGATTTACATTATACAATAAACAGCACCTTTAGTTTAACCCTGTCATCTTCATAATATCACCTATGAAAATATTGTATACTATTTTATAAGAAAGGGAAGGAGTTGTTGGTATATGTAAGGTAGATTTAAAGAAATTGTTCAGCTCATTATGTTAGGTAGTCTTGTATTTTTCTTGATGATTTTATTTAACGATTGATACATATTCATTGTTTACTATATTGTTACATTTTTAAAGAGCATAGTTTAATTTTAGTCATAATTATATACATACAAATATGTCTAAATTTTCAACCAAGTTTTGAATTTTTACACCTTATAAGAACAGCGTTAAGTGTTTAGTTGACTTATTTATCCAGATATGTTATTTATTTTTTGCTTACAGACAGCTATATTTAAAAAAAAAATTTAAAAGAAATTAAATGAAACTTGTAATAGATGTCCTGCCTTGATATTTTTAAGTTATTTATAAGTTAGTTTATAGTACTGCACATTTTCTAATGTTGATTTTCATTGGATGATTGCAAGGTTTATATTATCAATATATCCAGCAGCTGTTAATTTAGAATTAAAGGAATTCACTGAGGTCCAAATCCTAAAAACATAAAATTTAAAAATCTTACAATGATCAACTGGGGCACATACACATAATGGAAAAAATGTGAAAAACATAGTTAATATTAGTACAATTGATAGCCCTATTTCAGTAAAGAGGGTTTTACATACTTAATATTTTTGCACACAAGTAATTGGTATAGATGTACAACAAATAAAATATTAAAAATTAAAAAAAAAACAACATCATTTTCAGTCTCATCGTGTCAAAAACCTGAGTGAAGTCCCTTTTTAATTTTCATTTTTCCCAAAAATAAAAACATTGTGCAGTATTATGAATTTGTTATAAGGACTTTTGACAAGTTATATGGCCATGTATAAACAGTTAGTCACTACATAACCCTCACCTTCCTATAGGGTTATATAACCTTTCCACTGGTTATATCTTTTAAAAATCTATATAAAAAATTGGTACTATACTCAGTGTAGTTCTTTCCTTAGTGTGTATAAACACACATTTTGGGTCATTCTATACTGTATAATATATACACAGCGTGTATTTCCCCGTAATGTGTGTGTGTATGTGTGTGTATGCAGTTTCTGGATTTCTGCTACTGTTTATATATATGATTTGGTTTTTCTTGTACTGCTTAATAATATCTTGTCCCTACTACATGTATATGTATGTAGTTATGCAGTAGGGTGTTCTTTTTCATATACATTGAAATTCAGTGTACCTTTGTATGCCTCAAAGCTGTTTAGTTTTCAGCCTCACGCTGTTGATAAGTTCATACTTTTTAACATGACTCTGGCCAATTGTGTTCTTATACATGTAGCTTGTACATTTTGCTTACATAGACAATCAGTATTTAAAATTGTTGAATAACTTTTGCTTTAAAGACAGCCTTGATTGTTCAATAAATTATATGTAGGAATGTTTGTGAAATCTATTTTTAGATGTGCGTTTTTTGTTTTTTTTTATGACTGTGTCTGTTTAATTTTTAGATTTGTTTAAGACACAAGTATTCCCTTTGGACCAATAAAATTATGTATACATAAATTTATTTTGACCAATTATTTATATACCCAATTTTTACCAGTATCTACTTAATAGTTTATTTCAAAATTTATATTTGTAGGCACTATCCCACCAGTGTATTAAATACACATACAAAGACAGCGCTTACATTAATTGTATTTTTACCATTATACCTTACAAGTTGACATAATAAATTCTTAGCCCTGTATATCATACAATTTAATGAAATGTTGTAAATTATTAATGATATATGATTTTTTCCTTTCATTTAATGTACTTTATTTTGTAAACTTACTATTCATTAACATTCGACATCATATTGTAAAAGATAATTTTTATTTCTACATTATTTTCATGAACATAAAAACATTTTTAAGTTTACTTCAAAGTGATTTTTATTTTATTTTTTTTGACAGTATATGCTTGTTAGAAAATGCAAAGTGTTATGTCTTACATCTCAGTGAAATATTATCTATATTTCACTGAAGACAAACACTCATTTGATTATTTTTATCATGCAGAGTGGTGCATCAATTCATCCTTTATATTCACTATAACGTGTTGAAATTTGAGACTTACGTGCAACATTGTATTAACGTGTTATGGTATTACATTGAAATAAGATATTGTTGTATTGAGTCAACAAAATATTAGAATGAGTCGGCATTTTTTCCCCTGATATTTTATCGGCCATACTTGTATCATTCATGTTCATTTTTTGTCACATTAGATGCTCAGTATATGCATGTGTTGTACATAAATCTTAATTACATGGTAAAACATGTAATGATTTAATGTAGATAGGAAAAAAAACTGTCATATCATGTAATTAGCTCTTATACAGAAAATATCCCGCTCTTGAGTTATGCGAGCTTGTGTAATATAATGTTTTGCAATGAGATATAGGCTTTAAATGAGAGATTTGTGGCAAAAGATTTGTAACATTTTTGTTTGCTTGGATTTCTGGTTGAATTAATCTGAAAATAAATTTCAAAAATATTTTTTTTTACGTAAAGGAAGAAAAGATAAATCCATAAGTATCCTTCCTTTGGTTAAGACTTTATAAAAAAAGGACGACCTTATACTCATTTGAAGTGAAATTAAAATGGTTTAAAATTTAGTACAAAGTTAAAGCATGTTAAATTTCATTAATATTTTCAATTTTACCACAAGGAGCATTAACCACCAGGAGCTAATAGGTTTAGAGAAATAATATATATGTGTTCAAATATCAAAGAAATTTAGTTTCATCAAATTACATTTTATACATATATATCACATATTGTTATTAACACGTACACATTGTACATTTTATCACAAATTTGGTAGTTTGTAGAAACGTCAGGTGGGTTGGGAAAGGAAATTGTATGTATGTTTTCACAAAGAGTCATTTGTTTAAATGTTGCATGTTTTATTATCACTTACTGTGATCATCTTTAATTGATACATTCCATGGGAAAATACATAAAGGGTCCAGTACAGCAATTAATTTAATTTTCATAATAATTGGCCTCTGGTTGAGTGGTGAAGGTTATTTTTTACTTTGAACCACTTGCCTCTCATTTCCTTAGGTTAGAAACTTACCAGAGATATTTTATTTGTTCATACTTATGGGGAGGTTGTTCAATTACCATTACACAGAAGGTTCGTGGCTCTGCCCATAAGCCAGCTCATGCTGAAGGGGCAGTTAAGGTCTTCCTCCACCGGTAAAGCTGGAAAGTCACCATTTGATATTTGGTAAATAGCTACTAGTATCTGAATACAGTCAATGAAAATAACATGTTTTCCCACCTTTATACATTCTGTCTAGCACAACAAGTTCCTTAGCAATTTGTGATTACATTTGATGACTTTGGTATTGATAATTCTTACTAGTATCAAAAGACTGTCACAAATGCCAAGTAGAGGAAAAACAAAATTTAAGATAAAATGTGAAAGCTTAAGAACTAGATACTGTAAGAACAAACAAAAAGATTTTTTTTTTTCAATTTAACAACTTGCAGATACACTAAATACCGATACAGAAAGCGATAACTGAAGAGCTTTTATTGAAAAAATTACTTGAAAAAATGGATTGCACAACAAATCTTTTATGCACAATTCCTTTTCTGATAGACAAACAAAAAAGTTCAGTCTAGTCATATTCCCTTCACTTTCTTTGCACTGAATTCTGTCTCATTTCTAAGTTATTCATGATAAAAGATGCCATAATTTGATCTTTGAAATCCTTTATGACGGGACGTCCTGTCGTCGTGTTAGTTATTACTGATAATCTAAAAATAACAATATAACAGTTTAATACAAATACCATATCAATACCTATCAAATTTTGACTTAACGAATAACATGGTGTTATTTCTGTTATATTATACAGAACTCTTTGAATTTGATTGTTCATTTTTAACACTGTTGAATCATGAACATTGTTTGTGGTAAATTATTTGAAAAGTGGCTTGTTTGAAGCAATTTTATTTCGACATTTTTGGAGTTGTTACATGCTTATGTGATCATACAACTTCATGCAACACGAAACTCTTGATTAGATCTTTTTTCTAAAGATTACGGACCGTTCATTGTCAGCATATTTCATTTTACAATTACACGATAGTTGCCACAAAAAAGCAGACAGATATTTATTATGCAATATTTGCTGAATGAATATATTGGCTTGGGTATCTTATCTTCTGCTCTCACAAATTGCAATATGTCTTAGACAAATATTAATGGACATAACTTGCAGTAAATAACAGAAACTGGACGGAAGCCAGTCGAATATCATAAATGGCCAGTCAGCTCAATGTGTTCTAGAGTATCACATTCATAATATAAGCATATATGAAAGTGGTTTTCTTATTTAAAAAAATGAAATGTGTTCTATCAATGGTAATAAGGTCAAGCGTTCTTGATTGCCCATATTGTTTGATAAGTTACAAAACACAGAAAAAGATGTTGTTGATTTATGAAGCATTCGGTTAACATAAAATTTTTTTTTATCCTTTTCATGATGCAAGGAAAGAGGTCAATTAAACAAAATAACACAAACATATACAGATAATTATATCGGTTGGTAGTTTCATGGCCAATATGTTACATCATTACAGACCTTTGTTTAGAACCTATTGTAAGTTTTGCCAAGTAATGTTCTAATTGTTTCTTCTCTTCTAAAACTGACAAAAGAGTTGCTTGGTACGACTATCATACCTGCTTAAGTAAGATTTGTACAATTTGTGTTTCACCAGTTTGAATAAAAATGCACAATTGTTATAAAAACCATAAGCAAACTTTATTTCTTGCAATTTACAAATTCTTCCCTTGAGGTTTTAAATTTTTTTATCTATCACGATAAAAAGAAATTGTTAAAGTCATACTGTTTAGAATCGTTTTATTTCATTATAACAGATAACAGCATCGATATAATTCTGATAAATTTTATTCACTTTTGCTTGGCTTAATTTATTCTTTTTATAACTTATTCACCTGTAAGTGTTGAAGCATACCTAGACATCATGCTTTTTCATGTCATTTTGTAAATCGTATTATTTCATTAGTAATTAGGATAATTTAAATATATCAAATAAAAATAGAAATAGGAAAACGTCAATTTCCTGGAGATACCTGTATATGATGCTAAGGATTCTCGTCGTAGTTTTTTTATCTTTTTTGTTTATTTGCAGATCCAATTGTCTGGCTTTAAGGAACGATTTGTATTTTATGGACCATTTGTCTAGTATTTTATGGACTAAATGTTTTCTGTGTGGTTTTTTTTTCAGCATAATTTTTATATCACAGTAGAGACTAGTTTCTGTGTCTATACAAAGTATGTTTTGGACGAGGGATTAATGGACCAAATTTCATGTGATATATTAATTTATCTATTATTATAATTTACATACATTCCAGACTCAAATATGAGTTAGACTTTTAGCATTATGTAACCTCAAGGAGTACTTAATACCTTCCAATAGTTTCCTAATCATGTTTTGCAGATAAGAACTTTCAACCAAACTGAAAAAATGAGGGAAATCTATTTGAGTTAAAGGTTCGCGTAACTTAGCTTATTGATCAGTTTTACCTTGTTTGTATTATATTATTAATTATATTATATGAATATTGATTAAATACTTAAATTATGTAATAAACCATGGTATAACGTTCTGAAACTTTGATTTAAAAGAATAAGTATTTAGTTACTCTTAATTTCTCTGTTTATATTGTATATGGCTTCCATAATGTGAATTATTCTGTACTGCTTACTTGCTTCAAATATACATTGTTTATTGTTTCATAAATACCTATTCATTATTGTTAATAGTGATCATTTTATAACTCGTTAATGTACATGTAATTAAAACAGTGCCTTTCATCTTGAAGAAATACATGGATACTATCAAAGAAACTGGTATTTTGTGTTTTATTTATTTCCTTTTTAGCTCGACTTTTTTTTTTTTTGAAAAAAAAAGTAGAGGTATTGTTATAGTCAGGTCGGCGTTGCCGTTGCCGTTGCCGTCTCCGTTGCCGTTGCCGTTGCCGTTGCCGTCCGAAAACTTGTACCTGGATCATAACTTTTTTATTTCTTGGTGTATTGTCTTCATACTTGGCCACAACAACCCTTGGGACCAGACCTTTCAGTAGACCACACTAACCTTGACCTTCATCCATAAATGACCTTGACCTTCAAGGTTAAAAGTCCAATTTTTGCTTGTTCATGCTGTTATTGGCTGTTACTTTGTTATTTTTGAATGGATTGTCTTCAAACTTGAACATAATAATCTTCAAGGATATCCCTTAAAAATAACCAGTCAGACCTTGACATTCACTCATCAATGACCTTGACTTTGAAGGTCAAATTATTGAAAATTTCATTTTTTTGGCTATTATTGGCTGTAACTTTGTTATTTTTGAATGGATTGTCTTCAAACTTGAACATAATAATCTTCAAAGATAACTGTTAAAAATATACCGAAAGACCTTGACCTTCACTCATTAATGACATTGCCTTTGAAGGTCAAATTATTGAAATTTTCATTGTTTTGGCAGTAACTGACTGTAACTTTGCTATTTTTGAAGGGATAAACTTCATATTATAACAGAACATTCTTAAGGACCAGACCTTGTTGTTTATCAAACCCAAATTTGCTTGGGCTCTTTAATGACCTTGACCTTGAAGGTTATATTACTGAATTTTCTCAGATTGTGCATTTATCGGTGTGTGTGTATGTATAGTATATGTATTATATATAAATATATATATAAATGTGTGTGTGTATATATATACATATATGTAGGTATATATATATATATATATATATATATATATATATAAATATATATATATATATATATATGCATTTATATATATATACATATATAGATATATATATCAAATATATATATATCAAATATATATATATATATATCAAATATATATATATATATCAAATATATATATATATATATATATATATATATATATATATATATATATATATATATATATATATATATATATATATATACATATATATACATGTATATAATTGCGTCATGTTTTTCTATTTTTAGAAATTGCGTCATTTTTTCTATTTTTAGAAATTGCGTCATTGTTGCTATTTTTAGAATTTGCGTCATTTTTTTTTCTATTTTTAGAAATTGCGTCATTGTTGCTATTTTTAGAAATTGCGTCATTTTTTTCTATTTTTAGAAATTTCGTCATTTTTGTTCTATTTTTAGAAATTGCGTCATTGTTTCTATTTTTAGAAATTGCGTCATTGTTTCTATTTTAAGAAATTGCGTCATGTTTTTCTATTTTTAGAAATTGCGTCATTTTTGTTCTATTTTTAGAAATTGCGTCATTTTTTCTATTTTTAGAAATTGCGTCATTTTTAGAAATTGCGTCATTGTTGCTATTTTTAGAATTTGCGTCATTTTTTCCTATTTTTAGAAATTGCGTCATTTTTCCTATTTTTAGAACTTGTGTCATTGTTGCTATTTTTAGAAATTGCGTCATTTTTGTTCTATTTTGAGAAATTGCAACATTTTTTCTATTTTTAAATATTGCGTCATTGTTGCTATTTTTAGTAATTGCGTCATTTTTTCTATTTTTAGAAATTGCGTCATTTTTTTCTATTTTTAGAAATTGCGTCATTGTTGCTATTTTTAATAATTGCGTCATTTTTTTCTATTTTTAGAAATTGTTGTCATTTTTTCTATTTTTAGAAATTGCGTCATTTTCTTTTCTATTTTTAGAAATTGAGTCATTGTTTCTATTTTTAGAAATTGCGTCATTATTTTCTATATTTAGAAATTGCGTCATTTTTTCTATTTTTAGAAATTGCGTCATTGTTGCTATTTTTAGAAATTGCGTCATTGTTGCTATTTTTAGAAATTGCGTACTGTTGCTATTTTTAGAAATATGCTTAATGTTTCTATTCATATATATACAAAATATATAAACAAAACTAATGTGACAAGACAGACCAACTAAATTTATAAAAAGGAAACATCAATATATGTTCAAACCTTTCTATGTTTGCGTTTAGAAAAAGTAAAAAGTCGAGCGTTGCCCCCGCCCGGCGGTGGCTCTTGTTAATTTAACAGGACAATAAGCAGGAGACTCTACTATTTGGGAAAGCCAAATTGAATGTGTTAAAATGTTTCCAAATAAATTGCCATGGTCTTCCTTTCCTACTTATATTACATACATGTATATACAAATCCTAAGTGTCCCAGTGCATGCTGAGACAGCATCTAACTATATCCGTTGTGCTTTATTCCAAGACCTAATATTAAAGTTGGAAAAAGAAAAGGGCAAAACAGTGAAAGGCTGGCGATGATGACTTTCACATACCGTAATTAGAGAGGGAGTTTTTCTAAAATTTTAGTGTTATTCGTCCAGATACTGACTTTGTCATAATAAAATCCTTTGACAAGATAAAAAAAACAAAGTTGCGCTTAAATCTGTCGAATCTTGCAATAAAAATAATAATAAAAATATATGCGATTTGTCTTGCATTATTTTTTGAAGTATCTTACTGGCCATCAGAAGTAGGAGTCGAAATGTCTTCCCCATAGGGTCGAAAAGTCATGTAAAATGGGTCTAAGACTCAAGGGGTCTAGAAGTCATCTTAATATCCTATGGGATCGAGAAGTCAAGGAGCCAAAGTGTCTAACTTGCTTTCTGGGCATTGCAGGGAATTTCTTTGTGATTACATTTGGTTGTTAACAAGATGCCAAATGTCATTTGACCTCCAAAACTTTATTTACATGTCATGGCACAAAAACATCATTTAGCCTGTCTTGTTTTAAGAATAATTGAAGAAATTTTGAAAATAATGAGATACATGTATTTACCTGAATTTGATTTCAGAAACATGTAAAAGCGTCCAATAAGAAAAATTCCAAGCAACCTATGTTATTTGCATTTTCATTCTTTAGAGAATCCATAATTTGGTTTCTGAATTTCTTCATGAGAGGACGCCCTGTCGTTGAGTTGTTTACTACATGTATTGGTAATTCAAAGAAAACAACAGCATAATATTACAGTTTAATTCCTGCACAATCTTTTAAACTTCATCTGTACGAACACCAGTGTAAATAAGGCGTCACGTCTTTTCTATTCTTTCATGTAACAAGGAAATATTTAATTCATATTTTATACCTGATCTGATTTGTGAATAAATTTGCAAAATCAGAAAAAGTAGTCCTAAAATGTCGACATTTTGTAAAGTATCAGTAATTAAGATATGAGACCGAAGCATTATTTCTTCTTAAGATTGCAATCCATTAATTGTGGGCATTTTTCTTTTTATGGTAGGTGTCACAAAAGACCAGACAGAAATTTATTATGCAACATTTGTCCAGTGATGATAGTGGCCAAAGTATTTTATCTAATATTCTTCTTCACATAAATTGCAATATATTCATGGAATACGTAGACAAATTAAACGGACTCCAGTCGATATCAAAATAACGGTCATATTATCAGCTCAATGCGTTCCAACCTAATACAATTATTTGATTTGCGGCTTTAAACAAAAATGAAAACTCGGAATCTACTCGCAAATATTAATGTTAAGAAAGGTAATTAAAAAATTAAAAAAACGTGCTTATACACAGTTTACATTATAACTTATACTTACTTGAACTTATTGAAGAAATTAATTTATAATGTTTTAATTATTCTTTCTTTAGGAGATTGATATGGCTATCATACATTTATAAGAACGGTTTGTCGAATTTATTTGAGACCGTGTAAGTAGAAAAAAGCAACCAAAGTACGTAAAATAAATTGATATCAAAACAAACCTTGTATGAACAATGCCTTGGCTCCCACTCAAACATAACAGTTCAGTCTAGTCATATTCCCTCCACTTTCTTTGCACTGATTTTTATAACTCGTTGATGTACATGTATTTAAAAGAGTGCCTTTCATCTTAAAGAAATACATGGATATTATCAAAGAAACTGGTATCTAGTGTTTTAGTTATTTCCTTATTAATGTAAAAAGACAGTAAGTCAAGGAGTAGTTAATGAGTTACCACGCAAGTGACTCCCAATATTTGAGAAAATAATACATGTACATGTATTAGAATGTTTTTTATTTAGTGTTTTATTCATTTCCTTTATTAATTTTAAAGGACAATAAGGCAATAAGTATTGAAAACGCTTGCTTGCCGAGCAGGAGACTGGGCTATTTGGAAAAGCTTAATTAAATGTATTAAAATGTTTCCAAGACTTGCCTACATAGGATGCATGAAGATCCCAAGTGACACAGTACATGCTGAGACACAATCAAACTATATTTGTTTTGCTCTATTCTAAGACCTTATATTAAAGTTGGAAAAAGAAAAGGAGTTACTGTGTAAGGCTAGCGGTGATGACATGCATATACCATAACTTTGGAGTAAGTTTTTTCTAAAGGTTTAGCGTTGTTCGTCCAGATACTGACTTTGTCCAAAAGTAATGTTTTGATAATAAAATGCTTTGACAAGTTAAAAAAACAAAGCAAAGTTGCGCTTAATTAGATGAATCTTGCAATGAAAATAATCAAAATGTTTGCGGTTTGTCTTACATTATTCCTCGAAGCATCTAACTGGCCTTCAGAAGTTCCCCATAGGGGTCGAAAAGTCATGTAAAAGGGGTCTAAGACTCAAGGAGTCTAGAAGTCATCTTAATATCCTAAGGGGTCGAGAAGTCAAGGGGCTTTAGTGTTTAACTTGCTTTCTGAGCATTGCAGGGAATGTCTTTGTGATTTCATTTGGCTGTTGACAAGATGCCAAATGTCATTTGACCTCAAAAACTTTATTTACATGGCATGGGGCTAAAAATCATTTGGAGAGGGTAGCCCCTCTAGTTCAAAGAATAGTTTAAAAAAATGAAAATATGTGATACATTTAT